CGGCCTCATCATTCTCCGAGAAACACCACAACACAAACCATCCAAAATCAGACGACGTCGTTGAACTCCCACTATTTCCACTCCCGCTAGTTCTATTCCCAGGCGCAATCCTCCCTCTACAGATCTTCGAATTCCGTTACCGCATTATGATGCACACCCTCCTCCGTACCGACCTCCGTTTCGGCGTCATCTTCTCCGACGCCGTCTCCGGCACCGCCGAAGTGGGCTGCGTCGGTGAAATCGTCAAGCACGAACGCCTCGTTGATGACCGATTCTTCCTCATTTGCAAAGGGCAGGAACGGTTTCGTGTAACCAATATAGTCCGTACGAAACCTTACCTTGTCGCGGAGGTGATGTGGCTGGAGGACAGGCCGTCAGGGGAGGAGGATGTGGATGCGTTAGCGACGGAAGTGGAGACGCACATGAAGGACGTTATAAGATTGTCGAATCGGTTAAATGGGAAGCCTGAAAAGGAAGCGCAGGATTTGAGACGGAATTTGTTCCCGACTCCCTTTTCATTCTTCGTAGGAAGTACTTTTGAGGGAGCTCCGAGAGAGCAGCAGGCCTTGCTTGAATTGGAGGATACCGCGACGAGGTTGAAGAGGGAGAAGGAGACTTTGAGGAACACACTTAATTACTTGTCTGCTGCTTCTGCTGTTAAAGATGCCTTTCCCTCTTCATAATGTAGGTAATCAATGCTTGGTCTTTTGACTGTGTTGGCAATTTTATACAGAAGAAACTGCCTCTTGTTTTTTTTGTTAGATGTTGAACTGTGCATATTTTATAAAATGATTAAGATTTTTGCTCATAAGGGAAAGCTGTTTAACCGGTAATGTGATGTGTAATTGTTTACTTAATAGCTTGGATTCGAGTGATTTGTGATTAGTCTCACATGTGTCGTGCTCTGCTAATCATAGAACTATGGAAGCTCATAAACCATTAGTTAATGTTGATCATGTCAGATTTAGCACGGCGAGCTAGTGTTTGTATGGAATTGACCTGGCTTAACTCCAACAATGATTATCATGATGTTCTAGATGATTTCTGATATGTCCATCAAAAGTTTTTGTACGCTCTACAAGATGCGTCTTTCTTCGCACTTTCTTCTTGCATGACACAATTTGTAAGTGGCTCAAGAACTATATGTGGCATTACTTGGACCACAAAATTCGGCATGGTTTTGTATCAGATTCCAGGTTGAATGAAGAAAAATGATGCAGCTAACATCTCAAGCTTTTTGATATAGATAATGTCTCTAGCAGGCTAGTTTTCATGTATTTGAAAGGCTTACAAGTTATTAGTTACCTAAGGCAATTTTTCTGGCCAGAGGATTTTTAGACTTGTATGCTGTTGCATCATGAACTATAGCTCTCCATCTCACCATCTAAATTTGCATCTATGGTTGTATTTTGATGAATTTTGACGGATAAAGAAAACCCTACACCCGCATTGCTTCTTGTCGCATGCCACAAGTGCTTCATACCTTTTAGGCAACTCTGTTGATGTATATAATGCTGAGATATAGACTAATGTTCACCAAGTACCAGAGCTTAAACCTGAACAAACAAGCTGGCCTTTTCAGACAAGAACCAATAGCTAAAGAAAAATACCAAAATAAATTCGGGTCATTTGAAAAGAACTTCAAATTGAACTTAATAGAAGGATCCACTCCATTTTCTGACCCATATCCTACAGTTAATACGGCATGATCCAAAGACGTTGAACATGCGCCTGTGAAAATCCCTTATCACACAAAATAATCAGAACACTTCCAATCATAATCACATTTCCTTTGACAGGTTTCACTACTCAGCCATATTGCCACAAGGACCAACCTTGGAATACATCTGAAATGCTTTCTCACTGCCTCATAAACCCACACTCACGGGTTGAGCTGCCACAGCTTGTGAGAGCTGTTTCTCGTTGTTTTGCGGCACATCAACTTATTTACCAATAGTTACAACATGCTTCTTCAACTGCAATACACTAAGGCAAAGCATAAATGTTGAAAATAAAACACTACGAAAGTCTACATGCCAAGCAGCCAAGAACATACATGTGCATATGCAAGAGAAGAATCTGAACAAAACAAGCGCAAACGTGAAAAATAAAGCTCACCTTTTCCTTATTGCAGGTCCCATCCTGTGCTCAATAGGAATAATCTTCCTCAGTATCAATCCCGTGATTGTTTACGACAAATTGGAATGCATAGTCCATGAGTCCACCCTCACAGCCACTACTGAATCTTCTATCACAGTCAACTAACTCTTGTTCCGAAAGGCTAACAAGAGATCCAGTGACAATTTATCCATGGCTTCGACGGCTCTAGTAGCTGAGAACGACCAACAAGCACCTGGATAATACAGCAGCTGATTTAGTTCTAAAGTACATTAAGAAAAACTGAGTTCTGAAGTAACTGATGCAGTTTTCAAACCGAAAGGCTGTTCTGAAATGCGCTAAAACCAGCTGCATCTGCAATTCTATACCAAGCAAAGCATAGGCAGCAAATATTGTAGCATACATAATTTAGGGATGATAAAATAACTTGTAGGAAAATAGTAACACATTTAAGCTAGAATAAAAGTTAGTGCTCGCAATCAACAATGGTGTAAATTAGTAGACTTTCAGTCAAAACACAAATATTTGCAGGATATTACAAAAAATCAATAGCAACAAAATAGAAGGCAGTAAAAGTATATCTGCAGAATTATAACTAAAAGCAATAGGAGTAGTTACGAGGGCAAGCTACAGACTAAAACCATTTCCTAGAAGCCAACTTCAATATTATCCTGGGGTCGATTAAGTTTCTTCAAAGATGAAGATGATGTCCCCAGCAACAAGATCGAACACCGTGTAAAGAAACATCAAGCACCTAATAGCGTTAGTCATTATTCTATATTATGATAGCAATTCGATTATACAAATTCAAAGCCCTCTCCTGTACAGCTTGACTACTGGATAATTGAGCTAATCATTAATCAAACAAGAAACTCACATCTGAAAGATATAGCACAGCAAATGCATTATCCAATAAAATCAATCATCATTATTGAACTTAAAATCATAAAAGTGTTTCTATGATCATTACGTCAAGCCTATTACTAACGTACCACAGCTACCTTGATCCTTGACATTGGTCACAGCCCCTTTCTTTCTCCAATCAATCGAAGCAGGGACATCGCCAACTAGCCCGGTACGTTCTAGTTTTCGCTGATCAAGATTCAGAGGAGCAGCAGAGAGTCCCAGCCGAGAAGTCTTGAACTCACGATGGGTTAGATCAGCGAAGGCATGAGAGAAAGGGTATAAGAAGAATTACCCTTGCTGTGTTTATTAACAAAATCATGTTTTGCCATGTTCTTCGCACCATGTTTCAAAGAGCTGAGAGATGTCCGAGGAAGAAGAAAGAGAAAGGACGGAGACACGGAGAGTGAACGCAAACGTGTAAAGGAAGTTCCTATTTGTCAGAAGAAAAAAAAGTTGACTTTTCACTTTCGAGGTTTTGCTGGATTGGATTTCCAAGAGACATGGAGAGCCATGCAAGTAGTGAGGCATGGCTATTTTATACAGGAACGGTAAGAAGTTTCCGAAGGCTTCTGCATGATATTCTTTTATTTGATTAAAATAATAAATATCTCAATTATATCAATAATTTATTTCTTATTTTTAAATAATTATAAAATATTTTTAATTTTTATATATGATTTAACCATACAGATAAATATATTTTGAATTTTTTATAATCATTTAATTTATTTTTTATTAAATTTATTTTTATTTTAGAGGGTAATTTTACCAATAACACTCATTTATTAGAAAATAAAAATTGAGTATGGAACATGATTAAAATAATAAAAAGATGTAGATGTATTAAGATAAACAATAAAGTTCATATGAATTTTATAATAACAACAATGATTTAATGAGATATAGCATGTCGCAATTCATTTAGCTATTGTTAATTAGATTTATGTTACTTGTATTTGAAAGTACTGTTTAAGTGAAGAAGGTATTTGATAATATATATTAGGTAAAATTCTTTATGTAACTATCATTTTTAAGAGCCACATATATTTGAATTTTTAAGCATATTTCAAATCATGTATCTGATATTTACTTAATTCCAGATAAAATTATTTTATATGATTTAAAAACTAAAAAATAATAATTTAATTATGATTATTAAAAGTTGTATAAAATTATTTATAAATAAAACATATTTATCAAATAAATAATAGAATTTATTCCCTGATAAATAAATTTAAGAAATGTATTAGAAATTAAAAAAATATTAGTTGAATAATATATATGCAAGGCATGTGCTAAAAAAATAGTAACATAAAAAGGTAGTGGATAATTATGGTTTTTCTTCCTCTCGTTTTGTTTTTTTACTCTTTTTTCCACTGTTACATAAGGCATTGCTACTGATTGGAAATTTTATGCTGATATAACGTGTAATTAGTTGCATTATATTAATTACTTTATAAGACTGATTTTATTAAAAAAAAAAGAGTAGAGAAAAATTCTCGATATAAATATTCTTACATTTTTTTGTTTAATAATTTTATTTTTTCTCCTTGTGTTTATTTCTTTTTTAAAATTGAATCTCAAGACATAACTAAGATGATGTAATTATACATATTTTGTACATTATAGAATTTTTTATGAATTTATATAGGTGTTAAATCGAAGTTGACTGAATTTGATTTAAAAACTCAAACCTAAATTGAAATGAGATCAGAGTGAAGTTATAATTTTTTTTATTCAAAAAAACATCTTTATTTTTATTTTTAAATATGAAAATAAATTATCCGCATATATCTTAATTAACTTATTTAGTATATAACTTGTGCCATAAACCACATCAAATTTAATATTTTTTTTAATAATGTAGTAAAATATATTTTATATTTTATAAATTTATTTTTATTAAAACTATTCAAGTATATATATTAAAAAATTAAATGCTAAAGTAGACTGCAATGTCAAATAACACCTAAAGTGATAGGATATTTAACGACCGATTACGTTTTTATTCTTCTTCAAGCCAAGAGAGCCCTAAAAATCAGAACACCAACTGACAAGACAAACGCCACCATATCATCAAAACCATAATCTTCTCTCCCTACTTGTAATCAGCTTCCTAATCCAGTCAACCATGGATGTTGATCCTCGTCACTACGAACAAATTGTAAGTAATTGCTATCATTATAATCCTAGAATACCAGTTGTATCTGTCATTTAACACTGCTACATCACACTCAATAATCATTACTACTACTGATCGAAACCCTAATTTCTGTTTCACATCATTTGCTTTGCAATATTGTTAATAGATGATTAAGGGTATTATCAACGATGTTGACTGACCAAATTGTTTGAAGCAATTGTTGGTAATAGTAATCAGGGTTTGAGGGTTATGCTTAATCTTTGTAATGTACGGATGTTTTGCTTTTATGTGTTTTTACAGGCCATCAAAGATAGTGATATCCACAATATTGTGCTATCCTATCTGGTGCACAATTGCTACGGAGAAACTCTGGAATCGTTTGTGGCTTGTTCTGGGATGCCTGAGCCTGCAGATTATATCGAGGATATGGAGAAAAGAAAAGGTATGCGAATGTTTCCAGTTTTTGGCTGAGAAGCAGGATGCACAACCTTAAAGTATGTGAATAGCTGCACTTAACCAGTTTCTTTATATATCTGTGTTTCTGGCGATGTCAGTTGTTTTCATGAAGATTGTTGGAAGAATTGGGTAGATATTTCTTGGCAACTGATATGCAATGATATGCAGTGTATTAAGTAGTTTGTGTCTACGTTTTCCTGGATATAAATGATCTGACAATGATTTTCATTTTCTTTCCTCTGCTGATCTCTGTTCTTTATTATAGCGGCGCTAATTGTATGCTATGTGCTCAGGAATCGTTCGTTGTACTTTAGAGGGGAATGCACTCAAGGCAGTTGAGCTGACAGAACAGGTGGCATGTGACTTACTGGAGAATAACAAGGACTTGCATTTTGATCTCTTGAGCCTTCATTTTGCCGATCTTGTTTGTGCTAAGAAGTGGTAAGCAGTATAAGAGCTATACTTCTGAAACTGTGATGCAGCTGACTTCATATGTTAAATTGTTTGCATGCTTATGGACAGCACGGAAGCTTTGGAATTTGCTCAACAGAAGTTGACACCATTTGGAAAGGAGAAGAAGTACGTTGAAAAACTTGAAGTATGTCCCTTATTGAGGAAACCGTTTTAAGCATACCTAACATGGCTGTTTAGTCTAGTATTGTTGGGAATGAAAAGCCATTTCTTATTGCTGCAGGACTTTATGGCTCTGCTTGCTTATGAGGAACCTGAAAAATCACCAATGTTTCATCTGCTTGGCTTGGAGTACCGTCAGCATGTAGCAGATAAATTGAATCGGGCTATTCTTGGTTGGTTTCGTCATTTTTTTTCCTTGTTCCATGTTTTTTCCAGAAGATTCTCTACTAATAAACGTGCTTCTTGTTGATTTGATGCTTCTTTTAATAACTATCATTGACACACTTTATATATTTATTGGTCATGAATGATATCAGCTCATACAAACTTGCCAAGCTACACAGCAATCGAGAGGCTGATACAACAGACCACAGTAGTCAGGCAAAGCTTAAATCAAGATCACGGTAAGGTAGGGCATATTGAAAGCATTAGAGGCTGAGGATGTTAGTTACTTCTGCTGATTTCTTAACTGTTCTTGATTTTCTTCTGGGCTAATTTGTTCTTTCTATATCAATGCTTTACTATGTTAATACATGATTTCATAGGATGGGATTCCACTATTTTCTCTGAAAGACTTTCTCAAAGGCTAGGTTCTGGAAGTGATTAAAAGATTTCGGTGAGAGTAATGAAGGCACTTCGTATCTTGTTGCCACCGCGTGGTTTTGGTGTAAGGTTTGTTCATGGGAAGAAAACAGTTATCAATGCCTTCACATCCGTGAAAGTTGTTGAGAAGGCTGTCAGCTGTCTCATGTGTCTGCTTCTTCCTGCATTTGGTGAGGTAGGCCTCTTTCCATGATTGACCACAACACTAGTGCATTTGGGTGTGAGCTCTGCCCTAAATTGGACGTCATCATCCATGATTTTGACAATCCAATGTCTTGTAAAATTTTGCTTGCATATTAATTAGAGACCAGGACTCTAGATTATCTTGTGCCCAAACGTCAAATTAATTATGATTTGACGTTGCTGGAAGTCATGTCTAGTGGAGCAAGGTTGAAGTACCTAACAATATTGCTTGTAAAATTATTCACGGGGGCAAAAACTGCCATTGGTAGGCGTGCTTGCCTCCCTATTTCTATAACACGGTGTACATGGCGCACCTTAAAACGAATTGTAATTCTGGAATGTTGATGGTATTATTCTTGCTGGTACTCGATAATTTTAGTGATTATGAAGGGAGGCTTCGAAACGAATTGTAATTCTGGAATGTTGATGGTATTATTCTTGCTGGTACTCGATAATTTTAGTGATTATGAAGGGAGGCTTCGACCATTTGATTACACTAGCCGCTAGTCCGAGGCCCGTGATAGGGGGTTCCGCAATCTATTCGTGCAAAACTACGGGTTATTATTCTAGTTGGTTTACAAGTTGCTTGGAATAACGCCAGTTGCAGGGTCTTGTTTGAAGTTCATTCTAACATGGTTTTACGCGCAATTCTTGGACGGGTCGGGTTGGAATGATGTGGTTGCAAATGTTATCTTCTCATTAGCAGTACCTGACATTTGCTATCAAGAGACTGAGTGATTACAATGTATCGTATCATCGTGAGGCTAGCTCCATCGTGGATTGGTCAGCTAACTCTGCCTCTGGTCCTTAGGTGTATCGGTTTTCGTTCAGTGAAACTAATGGAGCGTCGTTTCTTCTCTCGTGTCCTTGTTAGTTTCTGTTCCTATTTTCTTTTGTAACCACGATAAGGAAAAATAAATGTACGACCTACTCGGCTTGTGAGTCCATTTAGCAGGCTTGTTCAAAATGTAGTTTCATAAATAAAATAAAAAAACCTTTGGTTGAACTGAGTTAATTGACTTGCGAGCGGAGTTTTGGATTAGGTTGACCGGATTCCGTATGGTCTCTTCACCTGGTAATCATCTCCAGTCCAAGTAGGAGGAACCAAGTACAAATGATAGGCAAGGCATAATAACAATTTCTTGATAAAACAATTTGAGAAATATTTAAATATAAATTCAGTGGTATATTTCTCAAATTATTGAAAGAAAAGTATTCATTTCTCACGAAAAAAATTGTCCCGCCTTAAATTAGACACAGGCATCAGAACCACCAGTCCATGTAAAATGACAGGTATTAATATCGTCATGGGCTATTTGGGCTTTGAAGGGTTTCAGGCTTCGAAATATCAAAGCTGGCCCAAATCATGAATGGGCTGAACCACAAACGGGTCCACATCTATAAATACCCAGTGCTAACCCCCGAAAATATCCATCTCAGCTCCCTTTCAAATTCGGATAATGCTGTCAATACCTGCAACTCCATCTTCTTTGCTTCTAAGCCTCCACTTGGGCAACGACACGGTGTCCCTCCCCTGTTCTCTCTTCAACAGGCACTCGTTTTCTAGGGTTTCAAAAAACTTCGAGCCAAACATTCCGAACTCAAGATTCTGCAAAATTACTTGCAGACTTGCTAAAGCCAAAGAGACTATTTCTACTACAAATCCTGATTCTTTAATTAAAGAGCCTCACAAGTACTTTGATCAAGTAACAATCACCGTCCGATCAGGAGATGGAGGCCATGGATCAATCCTTAATATGCCTAACCAGAGGAATAATAATAATGGTAGCAAAGGAAAACAGGAGAAAAGGAGTAGAAATAAGAGCTCGTATAAAAGAGACTTTCATGGATCGTTGATTCTTCCTGTGGGTGGACATGGAGGTGATGTAGTGATTTATGCGGATGAAGGAAAAGATTCGTTGCTGGAGCTTCATAGTAAAAGTAGATTCAATGCGAAACGCGGAGGGAATGTTGATGCTATGGGCGTTTTAACTTCTCAATTGCATAATGGATTTGCCGCCCCGACTTTGCGTATTCCTGTGCCTGTAGGTTTGTACGTTACGAATTACATCGTTTCTTTTTTTGGCTACAATTTTTAAAATTGTGTTTATGGTTTATGTTTTTATTTTATTAATGGGATAGGTACGGTTGTGAAGCGTAAAAGAGGGATGTTATTGGCTGATTTAGCGCAACCAGGGGATGAAATACTTGTTGCGAGGGGTGGACAAGGAGGGGTGAGGAATTTGCTTTTAAGATAGTGGAATGTGGAAAATTGTAACTTGGGTGTGCGGTTTGGGATTCATTTTGTTGATTTTGCTGCAGATTAGTTTGATTGAAGCGCCAGAGCATAGAAAGAAAAGATTAATGACATTAACAACAAATGTGATGAGAGATGATAGTGATAAGGTGAAGAACATGCTCTTTGATTTATTTATTTAATATTGTATTATGTACACAAGGTCACTATGGCAATTATACCTGCTCCGTGCTTGCTGCTAGATTTTGATACTTCTAGCGATGCCCAACTATGTAATGCATCTGCGCTTAGACTTGTGCTTGGCTTAAGTTGTTGAAGGAATCTCATTTCATTTTTCTTTTCTTGCATGTCATGATTGCAGTTCCATTTTTTGGTGTTATGGTCTTGTTTAAGAGTTAAATATATATGAAAAGATGATTATTAAAGAAGTTGCTCAATAAGAAATTCTAGACTTTGCGATAGAGTTATAAAATAATCAACAACAACTGTATCTATGGTTTATCGCTTCTCATGTTTGATTTTCCCTTCCTATCCGAACATGGGTTTTAAACATTTATGATTTACTGCAGGTTTTAATTCTCGGTCAATCTGGGGAGGAAGTCAGTTTAGAGCTAATTCTCCGAGTTGTTGCTGATGTTGGTCTAGTGGTACATGCCGTTTCTCACTTAATTTTTATTATTTGTAATGTATGCATGTGTCTAGGTTCTTTAAAATTTCGGTAATTGGATTTTTGTGGTTTTCATTTCATAAATACTAACAATTTTCTTTAAGGCTACTAATTTATATCTGAATCTAAGATATTTCAACTTCAGAAATCTCCGTATAGTAGAATATGCAACCAGTAGATGGTAAACTAGAAATTTGCTTTATATGTTTTGTTGGGTTGCTGTGGCTGTGACCAACCCCACTCTTAATTAATATATTAACAGAATCTTTTATAATCTTTTGATTGCCAGATCTGTTAACTTGCTTGTGTAGGGACTTCCAAATGCTGGAAAATCAACCCTTTTGGCAGCCATTACACTCGCAAAGCCAGATATCGCTGATTATCCTTTCACAACATTGATGCCAAACCTTGGGCGCCTCAATGGTGACCCAGCTTTAGGTGCAGGGATGTATTCATCTGAAGCAACTTTGGCAGATTTGCCAGGCCTTATAGAAGGTGCTCATCTGGGGAAGGTACTGTATTTTCATATCTAATCCAACGGTTTATCAAAAGCTTCAGTTAGTAAAACTGAAATTTTCTTATCCTTCAGGGTCTTGGCCGCAATTTCTTGAGGCACCTTAGAAGGACTCGTGTGTTGGTCCATGTTGTTGATGCTGCTGCTGAGGACCCCGTGAATGATTATAGAACTGTCAAAGAAGTATATCTTCCCTTAATTTTATATTATTTCTGGTTTTATATATTTGCTTTGAAAATTGGATTGCAGCCTCACTAGTGTAGACAGATCTAGAAAGTACTGGTGTCTTTTCTGTGAGTTGATATGATTTGAATAGCAAACCCTCTATGGGTTTTGCTTGCCTATTTAAATCAAGATCTCAATTTTAAGATATCTATAAATAGCTCTAGGGAGTGATGGACTCAAGTCTAGCAATGAAGTTCACTCCCAAATCCTGCTAGGATGTGGATTGGACCTAATTGATGAAAATCCCAGAAGAAAACAGGGAAGAAAAAGGAAGGGCTGATGTGGAATGTCACAGCTGTTAGAGAGCTTTTGATCACAAAACAACTCATTAGATGATGAGGCTGATGTAAGGCCGAAAGGCAAGCTTCTTAGCATAGACATGATCTTGAGTAGTGCTTGAAGGGTTGGCTTTCCCTTTGTAATTTTATGCACGATTCATTATTTCCTTTCAGGAATGGAAAAAACTAAAGAATTTGTTTGCCCTCATTGTTTTTCACCTGGACATTTCTTTTTTCTATTTGGAGTTATTTAGTTAATCGCAAACAAACCGTTCTTTGGTTCTGCAGGAATTGAGGATGTACAACCCTGAGTACCTTGAAAGACCATATGTAGTGGTGCTAAATAAGATTGACCTGCCTGAAGTATGTCCATATGCAGCTTCAATCCTTTGTTTTCATACATCCTTCCTTTCTGAGTATTTACATGTATTCATATAGAATGCCCACATTCTTGCTTCAATATATCAATTATTCTTTCAGGGAAGAGATAGGCTTCTATCTTTGACTGAAGAAATACTGAGAATTGGTTGCAATGAGGTGCCTCCTGAGCCAAAAATGACGTCAAAAGATGTAGCTCATTCATTTTCAACTGAAGATGGCAATGCAGATAAGTTGCCTTCACAGATAACAAATGAAGATAAAAAGGATAAAGAGTTAGAGGACTATCCTCGTCCGCTTGCTGTTGTGGGTGTCAGTGTTCTGTAAGTTAATCATTTTTTGTTGGACTTCACAAACATATTTTAGCTCATCATTACCTCTCTAGAATTTGTGGCATCTTGCTTTCACTTTGTCTACTTTGCTCCATGCTTTTCTTTGTTAATCTGGATCTTTGTGATTGTATCATTCTTGGCTCATGTTATTTGGGAGAAAAGAAGTCGAGTACTGTTTCGTCTTGTCATTAGAGTACTAGTCGTTCATATAATGCTAGGTTTACTAGATAGAATATGCTAAACTTTGATTGGACCTTATTGTTGGCAATGATGCACACAATGTTGCCTTTGACAACTCATTCATCTCTAGATTTTCATGACAAATAAGTATCTTAGTGATGTGTGGGATGATCTCTTCTAGGAAAATCAAAGTATGTTGGTTCATTGTGAATTTTGCCTTCCTAACTCTGCAGAAATCATTGTCCTATTTCTTCTCTTGAAATCTGTCGTATATTTTTCTTTCCTAACCTGGATCTGTCTATTGCCAGTGACAATTATTCTAGCCGTAATTTCAAGTCAAATAAAAGTAGTAAAATGACCTAATCATCTCATGCAGGAAGATTGATATCGTTGAATCTGCACTTCACTTATTCTATTTGTCTATACATAAACAATCGTTCATTTCCCCTAGAATTTGACCCACATCTGGCTCTTGGCTTTGTTTGAACAAGTCAGATGGGAAATTGTTTGATGCATTTTTTTTTTCTGTTCTTGGTTTTGTCAGGAAAGGAATCAGAGTAAATGAGATGTTGAAGGAGATACGGGCCGCCTTAAGGAAGTGCAGAGATTCTCATGAGGCAATGGAACCAAGTATGAAGACTGTGAGAGCAATGTAGTTGCAAATGTCCAACGGCCATCGGTTTGTCAACTAAAGCTTAACATGGATTGATTAATTGCAATATATATGCTGAAATTCTCACCAAGCTGGATATGCAATTCATGCTCAGGTGCTTACTGTGACCCAATTTTTGTTGCCCTTTCATAACTACCAACGCTTCACTTTGGGCCCAAACGAGACCGTTCCCACTAGCCTCTATACAACGTTTATGTAGATATTTTGTATCGAAACTGCATTTTTGTTTGTAACAGATCGGCGTACTTTTCAGCGTGTATCTGTCAGACCTCCATCTCATGCCCGCTTAAAATTCTATTTAATTGACAGCTGGAGGCATACGCATTGCTGTCTCTATAGTCCATTGTTCAATGCTAGAAAATTTGCCGGACACCTTCAAATCATTCAGGGAGGACAAAGCGAGGAGCCCAAGTCAACCTGGTTTGGGCCTAGAATGCTGAATTAGAGTTTATAATGGGGGCTGTCCAACAGCTATTGTCTCACTTCTTTTGGTATTTATATTTTAATTGAAAATACATTAAATTGATTTTTTTATTTTTTATTTCAATATATTAAAACCATTCAATTTTTTTAAAAAAAGATTAATTTAATTTTCTTAGGCAAAAAAAACACAATTTAAAACTTATTTTACAAAAACATATACTTACCCATCTCTTCGTTATATCTGTAGATTGTACCTGTCAGAAAGCTTGCGGTTTTTTTACACTCCCACGCACCATCTTATCAACAGCCAAGAAGGCTAATAGATTCATGCACTGAAAATTTGAAAATGCATGACCCAAGCTGGAATATGAATGCCATGTATCAGCAGTCAGTAGCTGTACGCATTATTAATGCGCTATTTTTCAGTGCACGAACCTACTTGGAATCTGATCCTATGGATCGACCCAAAGTGCGAGATTCAGTGTACGGCATCAATGTAAAAAATCTGCATGTGGGCCTTTTATGAAGTCATTTGAGATTGTTATTCTTATTTTTTTTTAATGCTTTAAAATAATTTATTTATTTATTTTTAAAATGAGTATATTAAAACAATCTAAAAATATACAAAAAATTAATTTTTAAAAAAATCAAATTTTTTTCAAAAATAAGTTTGCATTTCAAAAACAAAATGTGTGATGTTGGTGCATGAATATGGCAGCTGCGTTCCCACAGAACTGAATTCCAAGCCCCCGCCACCTCGCAAGAGTTGACAGTCCCAAGTATCAAACAGCCGTTGCAAAAGTTTGTGATGTGGGTGTTTTGGGAACTCCGATGTGTTCTTATCCCCAACCCTTTGCAGCATACACACCGCACCCACCCAGTAGTAACTAAATTAACAATAAAAGGCGACCCTAAAATTCTCCTATGTTTGCCACCTGAGCTTGTGTGCGGACAGATATTATTTGCCAGGTGTTTTCCATGTAAGAAAACCTTGAGCTTAGCAGTACTGGACACGATTGTTCTTGCCAAGTAGCAGTCCCAGCCCATTCGGAGACACGTTTCGATATCCTTAATTGGCTCTTGACTGCATTCAAGCGCTTATCCTCGCATACTGCCATATAAATAGTCCCTTTGCTGCACAATGTGCTTATCAACAGCGTTACTGTTTCGCTTATTTTCTTGTGTTTTTTTATGGGAGGAATGTCAAAATCAATCATGAGTGGTTTTGGAGAGAAAAAACAGTTCAAGAAACCTGCGCAGGCTAGCTCTAGGAAAGGGTGCATGAGAGGCAAAGGAGGACCAGAGAACGCTCTCTGCACTTACAAGGGTGTACGCCAGAGAACTTGGGGCAAATGGGTGGCCGAAATTCGGGAGCCCAACTGTGGTGCTCGTCTCTGGCTTGGCACCTATGACACCTCCCATGAAGCTGCCATGGCTTACGATGCTGCTGCTCGTAAACTATATGGCCCTGAGGCAAAGCTCAACTTACCTGAGTTACAAGTTAATAGAAGCCAGTTTCCAGCCTCTCCTGCCAATTCTCAGGTGATCCAAATGACAAACCAACCCTCTCTTCTCATTCAAAATTCTATTCCTACATGGTGATCCAAATGACAAACCAACCCTCTCATCTCATTCAAAATTCTATATGTTCATCAAATATCCCAAATATGGAGTCAAATGAGGCGAAACCAATATTATACAACCACAATCCAATCGTGTCTTTCTCTAATGAAAGCGTTGATTCGAATGGAATGGAGGTAGAAAATGACGCAAATTTTGGGCGAAGTGGAGACGTAATCAAAGAATTTTCGGCGAATCTCAACGTGAACATGACTTTCAATGATTCAATTTGGGCAGAGGCGGCATTGTCGATAAATTTTCCAGTGATGGACGATCCCGGAATTTTTGCTAGCAATCTCATGGAAGGATCTGGTTGGGACACATTGCAGGCTCCGTGGTGCATGTAAATTGAACCACGATGTTCTTCTGGGTCAAAGGAGGCTAGAGAGAGAAAAATCAGAATCCTTGTATGCATGTTTAGTATATAGTCTAGTTATAGAGGCACTGAAGCCACATGGGTTTTACAGTCAGGTGCTTTGTTTTATACTGATTGGTAATTTAACTTGAATCCGATACATATTTATATGAATAAATAAGTTTTTTTAATAATTATTTTATTAATGGATAATGAAAAAGTTTTTTTTTAAATTATTAATGAATTAATAAATAAGGTATAAATATTTTTTAAACTTAATTCAAATTCAATCTTAGTCATGGGCTTCCTGATATAATTTAACTTGAATATGATAGATATTTATCTAAATAAATATTCTTATTTATTTATTTTATTACTAAATAATGAATAAGGTTTTAAACTCCAGGTGTGCTTTCAATCTGATATATATATTTATTTGCATAAGTAATTTTTTTAATAATATAAAATGAATGAGATATAAATATTTGTTAAATTCAACTCAAAACTCAATTATATTGGTGGATTGTACTACTTTCGTAATAGGATGGCAATTTAACTTTGATCAAAATATTTACATAGTATATATATTAAATTTTAAAAAATATATATAAATATTATACACACACGGTGTGTGTGTGTGTATATATATATTAAATGATAAAATAAAATATTAAATATACTACACACACATAACATTTATATATTTATCATTTAATAATTATATACATATTTTAAATATATATTTAATTATATCTAAATAAATATGTAAAATCTAATGAATATAATATAAATATCTAGTTTTCTATTTAATAAATAATTGGTAAAATATCTATATAATAGAAATTCAATTCTCGAGTAACGTAGTGATCTCTAGTATACAAGTTGGCCGAAGATAAATAAATAACACCAACAGTACAGTAGAGAGAAAAAAACGTTGATGTTAACAAAATTGTATGCAGGACCCATGGTCTGGATTGAAGTTAATTTTTATAATAAAATTTATAATTTTCATAGCACTTCATTAAAAAACATTCCCACATGTTGTCCAAGATTTCAATTTATTTATTTTAATTTCTCTGCTTCCCACAATTCTTTTTGCCCCTATACTAATTCTTGTGGCCGCTTTCCTTGGATTTGTTTTTGGCTTTCTCCAACTTTCAGATATTCTTCTTATAATAATGATCATAATAAATAAATAAACTTCCAGATATTTTTCAACTAACTTTTGAATTTTGGAAAGTTCGTTAGCTGGACAGCTGTCGGTTTTTAGACTTGCAGTGGTATTTTCTAAATGTCGCAGATTTCTAGCCAAGAAATTCAAAAGAAGAAAAAAAGAGTTGGGGGTAGGATCATTTGCTCTTTGACTGCAACATCTCAAAGGAAGTTTGGCCATCCATCTTGCGTAAGTGTGAAATCACAGAAGAGTTGGAAGCCGGGTCTTGATGAACTCAGTTGGGCTAAGAATAATATGCAGAAGGGACTTTTTCGTCATTTCCCGGAATGCTACTGTATATGGCATTTGGATGAATGAAATAAGAGGGTTCATGGAGGAAAGGATTCGACTCTTGCTGATTTGATTACTTGGATTATGAAAATTTATTACTATAGTTATCAGAACACAAATATTCTGCATAAAATAAGCTTTATGGCAGTCCCAGTTTTTTGCTGTATGTTCAAATTGGAGGTTAGGTTGTCTTGATGTGCTTCAGCTTTTGCAGTCCTGAACTTCCCATATATTCCATTGCAGTTCACTTTTGTAAGTGTTGCAGACTAACGTAACAGTTAGATTCGGGCAGCAATTTTCAACCCACAACAGGTTTGAACAATATTGTTCAATGTTGACCCATTGACCTGCGAGTTGACCCCATAGCCTGATAAAAATAAACATGCTAGTTCACATCCGGCTGGAAAGATTTTGGTGCACCTCTGATTGGGTTTGAATTTTACTTTGGCTTAGCCTACACACTATTTCATGCTTTTCATCGAAGTTCTGTAGGTCAGGTGTTCGATTTCAACTGTTTAGAACAAACAAAAGCCTTAAGATCTTTAGAGTGGCAAAGTGCAATGTCATATTTTGTTCTAGTATGACAAAGTTGTTATGTTTTGAAGGAAACATGCTCACACAAATGTCAAAATAATCTGCAAGGTTGTCCGTATCACACAGGATTTTGAATGAAACTAGAATAGTCAAGCCAAGTTTATTAGATGTGTGAGGTAATGTTTCAGCCATTAACTTGTCAAAGCTTAGGATCTCATCATATTGCTGCAACGGATGAAGCTTTGAAGGGGTTCCAAAATCTGTTCTGCAGCCATAAAGAATCAGCTTCTACAGGATACCCATCTTGATTACGATACCAGCTGAAATAAGCATGGGTCCTGTTCTTTATATCAAGAATACCATGACCAAAACTAGCTTCACGAAAAGCTGTGTAGCTTGGCTGTGGCTCTGTCATGCTGCAAAAAAATAAAAAGAAAAAGAAAAAGAAAAAGAAAGCTAACCATTAACCATTGACATTTTATTCCAACCATGTACTTGCTAACTAAACCATTCGTGAAACACAAATAAAAATAATCAGCAAGTACTTGGTCGCTAATCCTTCTAGATTTCCTCCATCTCCAATGGTTATGTAAATGGGGGCAGATTCATCTCTTGTGGGAGTGCACGAACCAGAGACAATTCTATATGCAATGTTTGATATACGATACTGCAATGAAAAGCAATTCAACGCTGTTATATGCTAGAAACAGTAGTATGTGATTCGTTACGTTTTCCTTCTCCTGAACAGAACAATTTACTCAATAAACATTCGTATTTGGTCCCACATAGAGAGCGGTGTTAGCACCAGAAATCTTTAGATTTCATCCCCTGAATAGCATTCTAAAGGACCAAAATATAATCTGACATCTGTGTGTTATGGCTTCGTGTCATGAGTGCATGTCAGTGTCTTTTTCTAATATTCTAAACTCATCTTAACTAGCAGAAGGAAAAGGGCAAAGCAACTTCACTTTGAGATTTATGCTTGTTCTGCATCATCCAAAAGGAAGACTCCCTATAAAGTAAAATTAGGAAAATGTGTGAAGAACAAGTTCTTCATGTAAAGAGCTTAAACAAGGGAGTGGTTGATTCCTAGATGGCAGGATCCATGCTGTCTGCCAATACAGCATAAGCAATAAAGGGGACGATACCTGCACAGCTGAGACTAGCTACTACAAACTTATCTTCATAAATCTTTCATTTCAGCCACTAGTACACGTTATTTAAATGATTCCAAATCAAGAATAGGAGATGGATTGAGAGAAATAACATGTCGCAAATCAGTTAAAAAGTTAAGGCACGTGCATTATTCACTGATGTCACTGCAGTTCAAAATGATCGAAAGGGAAGATATCATATATGGAGAATGTGCACTTACAGATCGCTCATAAGCATGAACATGGCCGGCAAAGACAATATCGACTTTGTTCTCCACAAACCAGGGCTCATACATTACTCTCATGGTTTCCCCTTCCATGTAGTGATTTACATAACTGTTATACATTGGAGAATGCATAAGAACAATAAGCCATGGTGTCTCAGTCCTGTTTACTTTAGGCAGCTCGTTTTTTAGCCATATGTATTGAGGAGTGTATTTTCCTGCAAAATATAAAGTTTAAGTAGAGCACTATACTGAGAGACTCTTACCAGTCAAGTCTTTGGCAGACATACAAGCAATGTACGCTCAATCTCTCTTCAACAGAGTATAAAAAGGGACTAAGAAAGAAAACTTACCATAAGCTGAGTAGGAGGACATGACAATGATGTATGTTGAAGCTCTTTTGATGGAGTACCACAGAGAAGATGTGCTACCTGATGCTATATACGGGACATGATAGCGGTGGGTATAAGGCTTAAATGGTTTGCTTTCACCCTGCAATGAAATTACCAAGGATTGATCAAGAAAATCATGGTTGAAACCACAGAGAAACACAAAATATAATCACCAATCTCTCAATAAAAATTGTAAAACAAGAGGCTAAAGCAAACCAAGAATACTTATGATGCATACAATTTCAGGAGCATAGTCAATTTCATGATTCCCAGCGGTCCAAATCCAAGGTTGATAAGCAGCAACTCTTTCTACGAACCTTCCCCACGTATCCCACCGTGTGTTGTCATGAAATGGATAATCATTTGCGTAAGACAGATCACCGACAAACAACAATGTCTGTCCCTTTGCAGGATTTAATTCATAGTGGGTAAGTGTCCTGTTTGAATCACTAGTTTGACCAAGATCCCCTGCTCAAAATTATTTTAGATTAAGTGAGATGAAGACACAATCTTACAGAAACATTGACACAGAAATAAACAAATTACTATGTTTTCTTGAAATTGAAAAAAAATAAAATCTGAACTATACCTATGAGACCAAAAGTGTAAGGAACATCAGGACCAGGTTTAGGAGGAGTAAGAAACCAGAACTGTCTCGTTGTGTTTCCAATTCCAACCTCATAGTAATATTTGGTATCAAACTGCAATCATAGTAAAACTTAATCACAGATTACAAGTTCACAAAGAATATTCTTGAGTGAGAATCTTGAGCATGCTGCATACCTCCAAGTCCTCTATTGTGCAGTGGTGAATATAACCAGAAGTGTAATTGTAGTATTTATACGTCACTATAAAACCTTCTGCAAGTTTTTTGAGCCCACTGTTTTCAGCCCAGTAAAGCACTGTCTTTGAACCAGGTTCATCTTGTGTAACCCAGGACACAATCACACCCTTCCCTTCATGGTCTCCTTGTGTTATATGAACCTCCGATCATCACATAAAAAATGAAAAACAGAGCACAAGGTATATTATGTAGGAACATTCAGAATCTGAAGAAGCAATACTCACCTGTTGAGGAGCGTTATAACCAGGAGGGACTCTAAACACATCACTGTCTAATGGCATATCAAGAGAAAAGTCAGCATCTCTTACGTAACTGCTCGTTATTCCTCCATTAACAATCTCTGCACAACTCAATATCAAACACGCCACCAAAAGAAGAGAATCCCATCTCCTTTCCGTCTCTGCTCTACTTGACCGCTTCCAATTTTCAGGGACTCTAATAAAATTTTCATAGACCATCTCTACCATGGCAGAAGAGCTGGACTTTTATTTTTATTTTTTATCTCTACCATGGCAGAAGAGCTGGACTTTTTTTTTTTTTTTCTGCTGATGCTAGTATATGGAGTGAGGATTATTCATACTTTGGTACGGATATTTAAGCATGGAGTAATACCCCGCCGTCTTTATTGATGTCCTGAAACTACCCTTCAGACAGTGCTTTACGTTGTGGACTGAGGAGTGAAGAAGAGCGTTCGACTTTATCTATTTATTTATTTAATTATTAACAAGATCATATATTAGTTTTTAGTGTTAAAAAAATAAGCATAAATCAGATTTAACATTTATCACGACAAAGGATTATTTTAATTACTATATTACAGATGATGAACAACCTTTTATCATTTTTTACATGAAATGCAAACGATTTCCTTTTTTCTCATATATATTAGTTAATTAAAAAAAATATTATTGAGTTTTGAATTACATAATAGAAGTCAGTCCTTTTCATTAGATAGTAATTAAATAAACTAAGATTTTCGATAGATTTTAGGTTACATAATAAATGATAATCCTCTCTTTTCACATGTTAATTAAATAAATTAAAATCATTAAAACTTGAATATGCTTTCTATACAATAAATGTTCAAATACACAAACATTAGTTATTACTATTCCTAAAAACATTAAATGAGTAGATATTAAATCACCTTCTTGCACTTCAAATGAACAGGGCAATAAGGTGCCTCTCTTTTTTTTCTTTTTTTTTTCACTCTTTTAATTCTTTCATTAGTTTTCTTTTTATTTCATTCTTTAATACTTGAATAATTTTAAAATAAATATTCATAAAATCTAGTATAAATTAAGCATCAAAATATTCATTTGAAATTAGAATAATTTTATAATAAATAAATTAAAATAAAATTATTAAATTTAATAATATCTCTAATTAAAATTGCGGGTTTTTTTAAATTAACTAACAAAATTTATATTAATTTAATATATTATTATTTTAATATTAAAAAATTAATTCTTTAAAGTCTAATAATATTTTTAACTGTTACTCATATTGCTTTTGAAACTATTAAGTTGACTAGATTATTTTACTGTAATTTCTAAATAATATAATTTAAAATATAAGTTAAATAAAAAATAAGATGAAAAAGTTTTAAAATTAACTTGTCCCGTCAAATCTAATAATAATATCAAAGATTTATTATTTGACTGAATATTTATTATAGATTTAAAATTTATTTTTTCTAATCCGCAGCGTGTAGTAAACTAGTTTATTTTTTTTAAAGTTAAACAATTTCTCATCTTGTTCGTCGTCCGTATGATAACTACCAGTTTCCCCTTATCAAGTGCCAACCATCCAAAGGATAGAAGAGTTGTTAGATTGATGACTGAGGGAGACGAAAGTGGTAGTCAGCGGACGCGCCAAGCTAACGGTCAGTCAAAGAGGCCACGTGCCAATCATATGACCAACCCCATTTTTCCTTAGAACGACCTGTAGTCTATCTCGTGATCAGTTGATCTTGCGGCGAGGACAGGTCGTCTATGCGCCACGTCTTGTCTTCTAAACACGACACCAGCCTTTTTAGTAGCTTTCTCGTGTTGCTGCCAAATCCTGACAGAAATGAGATGGATAAAAAGAAAGGAACGATCATTCGATAAATAGATGAATGCCTTAGATATTTTCAGAACCCTTTAAACATGAATCCACTATTATATTCAAATATTAGTTATTAAACCTAACTTAAAAATTTACCGTATAAAATATAATTCATATTGAATTTAAATTTAAATTTATTTTAATATTGATCCAATGAAACCCAAATAACCTAGTTAATTAACCTTATTAAATTAACCAGATAAAAACTAAAGAATTTTACTTAAAAAAATTGTAACAAAATTATTTTGATAAAAAATATTACAAACCACTCCTCTTTTGACAGTGATCTTAGTTACAGATGAGATTGGTCTAGTTCATCTCCAAAAAGGATTTTAATATCATGTTTTTGTTTTATCATTTCATCATGCGTACGAGGAGTCTTATACTTGGATTGTTTGAACTGTTTTTTGGTGGTAGAAAAAAATGGATATTGACAAAATCAAAATTATTCTTTTGAGAGGACATGGTATTCGCTGGTTTTATTTAGTGTGTCCCGAGCTTTTATTTCTTGTACAATTTTTTGAAAATGCTGTTGGGCTCGCGTTTCCAAAGAGGTTTAAAGTTGTATTGAACCGTTTGGCAATGAACTTCTTTATCAATCTTTCATGCAACAATCACTAGAGAAATTCCCAATTCCCACAAGAGCTCCAACATCAGACGACTAGGTAATGGTTCATCTCGGAATTTCAAGTATGTTTTCGAATATTCATATTACACTCCCTGCGTAGTTCTCTTAGTAACGTAGGTGATGATTTAGCAGGAAGAAAGCATGCCAACGAGTTTGGTAGGCAATGGTTGTGTTGATATTCGAGGCAGAACTGCAGACAAGCGAACTACTGGAGGATCGAAAGCTGCTCCTTTTATTATAGGTTCTTAATGGTTTCAGGAACAACAGAGTCTGATGTGTTTAATTTCATGTTTATGATTTTTGTTTAACCTGGCTGTTTGGTGCCAGCTTATGCATGTGCCCTCTCCTTCAACTTGGCTTCTTGGCCAGGAGAGGCTGATTTCTTTTTTCTTTTTTCTTTTTTTTTTTTGGGTGCTTGTAGTGAATGAAGTTGCTGAGAGGCTAGCATTTTTTGCTATAGCTGTGAACTGTTAGGTTGGTTGCCATTAATGTGCAACAACTATTTGTTATTGCACCAACCATGTGCACTCATCCAAGATGTCAAAGGTTGGCAGCCACCATTGTTGAAGAAGAGTTGGAGTTGGCAGCCACCTTTGTTGAAGAAAAGCCTCCATGAATGCCTATAAATAGAGGCATATGCAAGAGAGCAAAATGAGTGAAGAGAATTATGAAAATGTAAAGAGAGTAGAAAGGAAGAGAGAGCTGCAATGGCAGCAGCCTTGCTGCCATTGTAGCAGCTGCAAGTGCAGCAAAGAGAGTTGAGAGTTGAGTATGAGAGGGTGTAATCCTCCTCCTCCATGTATTTGTTTTGTATTCTTTCTCTATCTCTAAATATAGTGACTTCTCCCGTGGATGTAGGCGGTTTTGCCGAACCACGTTAAATATTGTGTCAGTGTGCTTGGCTCTCATATGAGCAAGTATCAGAACATCACCGGTCGGAATTCCCAACATGAACATGGCAGCTTACATGGTCTTTGAAATGCATCAGTCACTTCCAAATGCTGCAACTCATGTGATTGACTGGATTGGAGCTGCCTATGTCCTCACTCTCTTTGGAGTGTTTTGTGCTGATGCTTACCTGGGCCGATTCAGGACCATCATTATTTTCTCTTGCATCTATACAGTAGTAAGAAATCAGGATTTCCCCCTTCATTTAGTTTCCACATGGCCTGTGACCGAGGTAGTGTTTGTTTACGTGGGAGGAATTATTTTTTAAAATATTTTTTATTTAGAAATATATAAAAATAATATTTTATTATTTTTTAAAATTTATTTTTAATATTAATACATTAAATCTATCTAAAAACAAAAAAAAACTAATTTCAAGTCAAAAAAATTAAAATTTTATAAAACATGATTTTTACTACAAAAACAAAGATGTCTTTAAAAGCATGTTTGTTTTTACATTTTATTTATAAAAAATAAAAAAATTTATCTTTTATTTATTTTAAATTAACTTTTTAATATTTTCAAATTATTTTAATGTACTAATATTAAAAATAAATTTTAATAAATAAAAAATGTATATTATTTCAATATATTTTTAAACAAAAATCAAAATAGCAAGTCATCCAGCATGCAGGCGACATAACGTTGAATTGGGCTTCTAATGTTATACAATCAAGGCTCTGTATTCTGTACCTGCAAATCATCTAAATTGGATTCAACATGATCTTTTCTTTAAAAAATCTAGAGCAGTGCTTGAGAAATGAGATTGGCCTAATTTTGCTGCTCGACCGAATTGTGTTTTTGGTCTGAACCGCAGGGAATGGTATTAATGACCCTCTCAGCTTCTATAGACAGCTTACGTCCACCAAAATGCATGGTAAGGCTATGCCCACAAGCAACCGATGGCCAGACAGGGTTCCTCTATGGTGCACTGGCCCTTATTGCCCTTGGAACCGGCGGTATCAAGCCATGTGTCTCATCTTTTGGGGCTGATCAGTTCGACGAGGCAGAGGTGGAAGAAGTGCCAAAGAAATATGCTTTCTTCAACTGGTTCTTCTTTGTTATAAACATGGGTGCTATCTTGGGTATAATAGTCTTGGTATACATAAAAGAAAATAAGGAATGGGCCTTAGGTTTTGGGCTACCTACAGGGGCCATGGTTATTTCTGCCATCATTTTAGCAGCTGGCATTCCTTTTTATCGTTTCCAAAGGCCCATGGGTAGCCCTTTCACCAGGTTTGTTCAGGTCATGGTGGCTTCTGCAAGGAATCATTTGAATGGAGTCCAGGTTCGACATCAAACCGAGATTTACGAGGTTACCAAGGAATCTGATATCAAGGGCTCCCAAAAGCTGTTTCACACCTTACAGTACAGGTAAATTTTTAACAAAGCGTTGTCTAGTTGTCCCCTCCCTGAAATGCTATTGGTCGTGTCTATGTACACAGTCTATAGTCCACTGGTGCTAATTTTAACCATAATCTTGCTTTAGTTTTTGAATTAGAGCTAAAACGCCAACCTTCAACATCAATGAAGTCCAATTCAGTCCCTTGAGATTGTCTTCGAAGATAAGAGTTGATCAGATTTTCATTTGAAGTTCTCATATTTAAACTTGATATCCCACATGTTTAATAAAACTTGATAATGTCGTGTTTAATTATCTTTCATGGATCTATAATTGCTTGATCATGATGTTCAGTCCGGAGTTTTTCCCTTCCAGCTAAAATTCAAGGGACTTGTATATTATGGTGCAGTTTCCTGGACAAGGCAGCGGTTGTGACAGATTCTGAGGCTGACACAGCGAACCGTTGGAGACTTTGCACAGTAACACAAGTAGAAGAATTCAAGTCTTTTATCAGAATCCTCCCAGTATGGGCATCCACAATTGCACTGATCTCCATCTCCTTTGATCAGCTCTCGACCTTCTTCATCAACCAGGCCAACATCATGGAACGAAAACTCAGCTCCAACTTAAAAATTCCAGCAGCTTCTGTCCCTGTTTTCAGTGCCCTCATCCTCGTCCCCATCTACAAAAAAGTAACAGTCCCTATCCTACGTAAACGCACCGGCCACACCCGCGGCATCACATCATTGCAATGCATAGGAGTTGGTTTATTTATTTCCATATTTGCACTGATAGCTGCAGCATTGGTAGAAAAAAAGAGACGCGACAGTCCTAACTCTTCAGGCATGAGCGTGTTTTGGCTGTTTCCACAGTTCTTTTTAATAGGCAGTGCAGAAGTTTTCACCCACGTAGGACAGCTAGAATTTTTCTACGAAGCAGCTGATGGGACAAGAAGTATTAGTAGTGCAGTGTTTCTTAGTGAGATCGGGATTGGAAATTGGTTCAGCACTGCAATAGTTAAGATCATCGAAAGTGCCACTGGGGGAGAAGACAAAGGGTGGTTAAGGAATAATCTTAACAAAGGCGGGCTTGATTATTTCTACTGGGTGTTGACTGTGATTAATGCGGTTAATTTCGTAGTTTATTTGTGCATTTCTGTTGTTTGTAAGAGTAGAGGTGGTGCAGTTGGGACGCTCAGAGAGGAGGGTGCCGTTGACATGGGTGATGATGGTGCATTGATGGAAAATGAGGAGGATACAGTTGAATTCCGAGGTGTGGCCTTATAAGTAATTGCATTTGCTTGATTTGGTTTCTTTCAATGTATCTGCTGCTAACTTGTTTCACTTGAATGTAAGATTTTATAATTTTAGTTTTATTCGTAGCCAATTCAGGTCCTTTTTTTTTAGCCTAAAGTAGATTTTCTAGTATCGTGGTATTTTTTGTTTTTCTAACCACAGATAAAAATTATTTTAATAGTTAAATAGTTTATGTTTTTTATGTCATTCCTATATATAATTATATTTTTAATTTTTAATTATGTAGAAGATTAAATGTCATGTTGAATTTCTATTTATAATAGTATCAATGAATATATATTTAAAAAAAATTGTAATTAAAAATATTTTTTAAAATATAATCATTAAAGATAAGCAATGTCAAACATGTACAAGGGTTTAACTTTTTGGGATTGGGATTTTCTTTAATGATCCCTGGCAGGAAGAGTGATTAGACACGAAATGTTCTTTAGAAGAAGGGAAAAGTTGTTAAAGATTAGTATGGATGCGATTCACATCATGATTAAAAGAAATGCTTTTGGAAAAGTAATATTGCTCCATGATAATTATTTGTGGTATTTGTGGATATTAATTATTAATCATCATCTTTAATGATGTGATCTTGGGATCCGTCAATCCTCCCTTGATCTAACCTAGAATTTTGTCAGTTTGCCACTGTCTTTTAGCCTCCGATTGTAGAAAAGTTCATGTAGTAAAATTGGAGTGCTGAGGACAGGCACTTCCAGCTGGAGGTTGACTAGAAATAGTCTGCGAACTCAGGAGTTGCTACTGCCTGATGGAGGAGCTTCAGACCAAGGAGAGATCAGGAGCTTATATCATATTCTACGCCTTCCCCATATGATAAAATCCTACCCCAAGCCTTCTTCGACAGAGTCGCCTAGAACAGACATTTTAATCTTCATTCAAATGCGTAATTCATCGAAAATAATGATCATTTTACTCGGATTGGGGCTGTGGGGGACCGAGGAACGAGTCCTATACGGATCAACCATATCTAGAGAGTGAGGGTCAACTTCAAGTGCCAAACCCCGATTTTCAACAAAAAAAACTTCAAGTGCCAAACTACTCAGTTACAGCTGAAGATCATGGCTGTGAGTCCAAATTAACCTAGTTTAATTATTAGATAAAATAAGATAGTAAGATTTAAATTCTTTATTACTTGATTATTAAAATTCTAATATCATATTAAAAACTTATATCAATTCAATATTTTGAACTATTAAATAACAGATTGTTTTTCTTAATTTCTTTTAGTTTAAACTAGGTGCGGGTGATTTATGAATATGCTACAAGATTTTTCTAATCTTGGCCTAAATAAAAGTGTAATTACTGAAATTCGAAACCAATAAATACAAGAGAAATGCTCAAGTCCCAAACAAAGCTTAACCATGCCACAACTCAAAAAAAGATTGATCGAATTCACCAGTGATCAGAAGTGGAAAACGTAGTGAAGACTTGGCATGCAAATCTCGCACTCATTTCTTGGAGGTCAATTCTCGCATCCCCTTGTGGAGGACATTAAAATATATTCTTCTTTGTCCTGTATGGACACCAGAGGCTCAACGGCCTAGTCTCTTAATAATGCGGTCGATGTTTTACATGCATATATGACTATACATCATCATGATCGGATAAAATGATCAGTACTTTCCGACCAAAATTATTTTCAACAAGGGCAATGTCAAGACGGCAATATGAAGACGAGCGTGCATGCTTGTAAAATGAAAATGGGTATCAAAATTAGTAAAGTGGGGTCGAATCCATGACGATGATCTTGGAGCATTAGCTTTTTGCAATCTGCATATCTTTATAATTTCGTAAAACAAACCATAATTTAACATATATATAAAGAAAGCACAGGGGATTTCAGGCCTTTAGGGCCACATTAGTGATGATAATCATAATGTCCATCCCCTCAAAATCTCCCTTTTCTCAACCTCCTAGCTACTAACATGAAATGACTGAAACATACGGAAAAAAAAATTAAAAGAACTTCATACACACACAAGCCATCTTAATTAATAGAGCAGTGCCTTCTTTTCTTCTTTTTCATGGGACCTTGGCTCTCCGGCCAACTGTGTGGTTAAGAGTTAAGAGGCTTTGCCAGTCAAACATTTTCTGTTGACGAGGGGAGAAGTGGCTGAGTGAGGGAGGTCTTGATGTGGGTTTGAGCCCTGCTGATTCCATGCTCAGGAGTGGACTGAATGGCAGCCTTTTCCAAAGCCAAGAACTTCTTTTCTTCACTTTTGCCCCATAGGACCAGGTACAATCCTATAATGATCAACACTGCCCCAATGATCCTGTACACACAGAGTCATAACAAACAAAAAAGCATATCCCATCAGGAAAAAAATATTAAATCTATACACACTCCAGTGTGATCAATACTGATCGTTCTCCTGTGCCCTCATCAGCAGTTGTCTGCCCTAGCTCTACCACAGACCCCTGTGACCTTGTCCTTTGGGAAGGAATAAAGAAAAGAAATACCAATAAATGGAAAGGATATTTTGGTCATTTAAACTAGTCAAAGATTAGTTAAAAATCCCAAAAATTATTGTTAATCCTTATGGCTGGGGATAGACGTGGAGCCAATAGAATTCATAATTAAAAAATAATAAATAAAAAAACAAGGGACCTACCCTCCTAAATAGAATTCTTCCCCTAAAGCAATGGAGGCCATAATAGCGACAACAAGAGTCTGAACAGGTTGATAAACAGCCACAAAGACAGGGCCACCTCTGTCAATGCACCATATCTGTACAGCGAAGGCAATCCCTGATGCTACCACTCCCTGCAATTTTCCAACAATAAAAGAAGTTTCTTCCTCACTTCATTTTCAAAACACCCACCACTCTACATTATTGCATAGCCACTTTTAGATCATATCATATAACAACTAGAGAGAAGCTTACAATGTATACGGAGAAGGCTAAAAAAATATAGTGTATCAATAAAGATAAAGGTAGCATATGACTGATCAGCAACTGGGGTTCGCACATGTACAAAGACTACAACAAAGCTACCCTTTTATCTCTGATTTAAGACTTGACAGGATTTTAAAGCCCCCACTGGACTGGACTGGTAGTTTTTTTTTTTCTTAAAATATCTTTAAAAATATATTTTACTTGAATGTTTTATATAGTGTCATTTGATAATTTTAACGTTTTAATATTAAAAATAAAAATAAAATTTAAAAAATTTATTTAAATCTATTTTCAAGCAATCATCCATCGCAGACACTAAAATTCAACAAGCTATTTTTTCATAATTAAAAAAAAAAGAGCAAAAACAGTAACCATGGAAACTTTAAATCAATAAAAATAAATAAATATTTATGTTATAAAGGATTTCATATTAAAAAAATAATAAAAACTGTATTTAATTAGTTATTAAAAAAAGGTGACTAGTGAATAAATATTAAGACCCTTGATTTGATTTATGATCTGACTTGCTCTCGTTGTCATGATTAATGTTCCCCAAACAGAAAAAAACAGGAATACCTAAGTAAGTTCAAGTTAATTAAACTGGCTAATCTCATGCTGTCTATACCATAATGTTCGGTTTAGGAAACTAGTTAACTTATCAGAGCAGGAGACTGAATTATCTCAAAGAGGAATACGGGTCAGATAAATACTAACTGCATAGAGGATAGTGAAGAGTTCTCCACCAGACTGGAAAATCCAAGCCTGTGGGTCTCTCTCCATGAAGGCAGCAATAATCAAGAACTGAATGAGCCCAAAGAAACAGGTGTAAGAGGTGACCGAGAGCCTAGCAGGGTACTTCTTCAGAACTGGTGCCTGCAACACAAGCCAACCAGACCAGGACAAGCAATGGCCGATGAGGTAGATGCAACCAAGGGCACAGCTCTTCAAGCAATGGCCGATGAGGTAGATGCAACCAAGGGTCCAGTTCTTGGCCCTGGCATCTCCAAGTGAAACAAACATAGGTGCGGGTCTGTTTAGATGCGGGGCTGGGCTGTATATGACTGGACCATTATATAGAGTGATCACGGAGGCCCCTGCTACACAGCAGATAGTTCCTAGTACTTTTGCTATTCCATCTCTTCTGTTTATTCTAACTTTCTCTATCCTGCAAAATAAAAGAAAATAACACATTTCACGAAAAGAACTTTAGGTGGCAGAGGAAAACAAAAATGTATGTTTACCCTTGCTGCAGGTTTTTGTGTATACTAAATTAAAAGTTTGATTCGATGTGAGACTAAAGAGAGAGAGGAGAGGTAAGGAAAGGGGGCTTGCCGCAGTAGGGCTGCCATGAGAAAGGTGATGGCAGGGACAGAGTTTTGGATTGCTGATGCGAAAGTTGGAGACGTGTTTTCCAGGCCCAGCAAGTAGAATCCTTGGTTTGCTGTTATTCTGCTCATCACACAGGAAACAAAACACGAAAATGAGTTATAGTTCTCTTTTGGAATCTTGATTTTCTTCCTTTTTTTCAATTTTGAGTTATATATTGAGTCATACCCGACAAGGGCAAGGAGGAAGAACTGGAGGACAAAGTTTAGAGTAAGTGCTGGCCTCTCCTTCCTGAATAAAGAAACGAGAAGAAAATTATATTCCTTAAACGTATACATATATAAAGGATGACTGATGAGAAAATAGGTTAGATTAATGGATATCAGTGCTGTACTTTTCTAGAAAATATGCAAAGGGAAGGAGCAGAAGCAAAGCGATGGTGTTCCTATAAACTGGGAAAACAAGCTTGCTAACTCCCATATTTAGGGCAGCCCTGGAGACCACATGGAAACCAGCATAACCAAACTGCAAGGCCAACATGGCCAGGTGCAGTTGGAATCTTTCAGGAACTGAACACCACATTCTACCTGAAGAGGTTGAACCGCCAACATCAGCCATTGCAAACCAAGACTTGAAAAAACTAGCAATAAAGGGATGGGTTGAAGGAAGACGTGAAGGGGAGCTGTGGAGAGAAAAGGATGAACTGGGGTGGTATAAATAAGTTTGAAGTGAGTGAAAGAAAATGTAAGGTATTGTAACATGGAAGGTAATGGCCCACAAGGGCCCATGGAGGGCCCACATGGGCCCTTAAAAGACGTCACGTCAACT